ACTATACCACTTGTCAATGAAATAATTCTTAAAATTGGCATTTGAACATCACCGACGTGAAATATCTTGTTGAAAGAAAGGATGCCAACTATTTATTAAATTACCAACAACAAGACTCTTGTTGCTAAAAGTACATGAACTTACTATTTATTAGTTTATCAGTGACAAGAAACATGTTGCTAAAAAATAGATAACACGCTCTCCCTCAAACTTTTAGCAACATAAGCCATATTGCTGAAATAATGTTTTTAGCGACATGGGGTGAAACTACCCCAAGAATCTCACCGGAATTGATGGCCGGAAATTAGCAAAATTTTTATCAACACAAGCCACGTGCTGAAAGTATTCAAAAATTTTGCCGGAATCTTCACCGGCAAAAGGCAAAATTTGGCAAAATTTTCAGCAATACAATGCACGTTGCTGAAACAATATTTTCAGCAATGTGCCTTATGTGGCTGATACACCACCAACAAAATTCTTGTTGTTAGTGTATCACCCACCACAGCATTTCCAACAAAGCTTTTAACAACTAGAGGTATGTTGCTGATGCAGTTTCAGCAACATGAGAACCTTTTTCAGCAACATGAAAGCATGTTGCTGAAAATAGGAAATTTAGTAGTGAATTTGCAATTTCAGCAGGAAAGCTCCCCAAGTATAACAATGTACCGTGGAGGGGTGATTCTTGCCTGGATGATGGCCTTTATAACGAGCTCGTGGGTGGATATTATGACTCCGGAAATGCCATCAAGTTCCAATTCCTTTCACCTTTTGCTATGACCCTTTTGAGCTGGAGCGTCATTGAGGACAGCGCAAAATACAATGCTGCCGGGGAGCTCAACCATGTCAAGGACATCATTAAATGGGGCACAGACTACATTCTCAAGACCTTCAGCTCTTCTGCCAGTACTATTGACGTAATTACCGGGCAGGTTGGGATTGGAGACACCTCTGGAGGAAGTGAAGAAGCCCACAATGATGATACTGCTGGACGCGCCCTGAGGATATCGATTACTCTCGACCTATATCGACGAATGTCTCAGGTGCTCGGATCTTGCTGCGGAAATGGCAGCTGCGCTGGCTTCTGCTTCCATTGTTTTCAGAGACAACAGGCCTTACTCCAAGAAGCTAGTCCATGCTGCCCAAACAGTATTTAAGTTTTCAAGGAGTCTGCGAGGCAGATATTCTCTGCAGGTAGATCGAACCCTGCCTTGTTTTACAATTCAACAGGATATTGGGACGAGTTTATTTGGGGAGCTACCTGGTTGTATTATGCCAGGTAATTATTCCTATCTTCACCTCGCAACGACGCCCGGACTAGCTAAAAAGGCTGATGCTTTCTCTATTGGCCCTGACTATGGCGTCCTTAGTTGGGACAACAAGCTTCCTGGAGCACAGGTAGTTACCGATTGTACATGTTGGATTGAATTGTACTCAAACTACCTCATTTCCTTCCTATGATAATCATCTTTCACATGTTTAGGTGGCTCTAAGCCGATTAAGGATGTTGTTGAATCCCGGTTACCCCTAGGGGGAAATGCTGAAGGGCATTTCAGGTGCAGAGCAACATAATTATGTGCTCCTACATCCCAAATTTTCATATCTTTAACGGGACAAAAGGTGAAGTGCCATGAATCTTTTCTCCTCAATGTAAGGATTGGACCTGGACAAGTACATAAATTGAAGGTGTTGTACTTTTTGTCAGGAGGCTTGATCCAGTTAAACCATGGAAAGCTTCGGCCTCTTCAACATGTAGTAAATGCAGCCTTCTTAGCCTCTCTATACAGTGATTATCTTGATGCTGCTGGCACAAAAGGATCGTTCTGTGGGCCAAATTTCTTCTCTACTGATATCTTGCGAAAGTTTGCCAAAACTCAGGTATGTATGTCTTTGTTACATATGTAGCAAATGGCGAAGAATTAAGATTTTTGAGTTAATTAGCACTAATTAGGCTAGAATCTAGTTGGTTCCAAACCAATGGTTTTTATATGGTTTCTTTGGGATGCAGATTGATTACATTTACATACAACAACCCTCAAAAAATGAGCTATGTGGTGGGATTTGGCAACCGGTATCCAAAACATGTGCACCACAGAGGCGCATCGATCGATCCCTAATGATAAGATAAAATACAGCTGCACAGGGGGATGGAAATGGAGGGAGCCCTCCAAGCCAAACCCAAATACGATTGTGGCAGCCATGGTGGGTGGCCCTGACAAGCATGATGGCTTCCACGATTTCCGTCCCAACTACAACTACACCGAGCCAACTCTTGCAGGTAACGCAGGCCTGGTCGCTGCACTTGTTGCATTGTCTGGCCATGGTTCCACCGGATTTGACAAGCATACCATTTTCTCTGCACTTCCCCCACCTAGAAAACCATGAGAATCAAAACGTTTCCTGAGTTTTCTACATGTTGCTCATTGCCCTGTGAACATGATAAAATAAATAACGAGGAATTCATTAACTCCTTTCCAAAGAACCGTATAATGCAAATAGATCATATTTCTTTCTGCCGGCCTTGGACTAAAATGATAAATCCGAATTATATTGAATTGCGCAATGAGTTATGAATGTTGGGAGGATGTCTTTTATATACTCTTAATTTATAATTAGGTAATGATATAGAAGTAATGTTTTTGTATAAATTTTTTTATATAAAATTTTTTTATTATTAAATAAATATAATTACTATTACAAATGTTAAATAAAAAAATATTTATAATTTAAATGATATATAAAATTATATAAAAATTTATTTATTTATATATATATTTTGAATATTGGAGATGGGAAAATTTTCTTTCTTAGGTAACAGGGGAGTAGAACTCCCAATATATTAAACCCAAGCACTTAAGTTTAGTCTGTGAATCAATCGACCCAAAGGCTGGTTTTACTTTTATAATTAATTTTTTTTTTGAACAGGGAGGAATTAGTAGGGGAAAGGAGTAGCACTTAGATTTGAACCTAAATCATTATGTCTATTACACATATTTAAGGATGTAATTATTAGGGCAGTCAGGGTTGAACTATTTTTATAATTATTGGTACTTCAAATGATAAAATATTGTATTTAATCTTAACTTATTTTTTATTTTACTTTTTAAATGTAAAGCCAAATCATGAATGCGATTAAAAAGATTTTCATTTTAGTACTCCTATATTTTAAGGAAAAATATAGTTAGAACAAATTCATCACCTTTATCACTAAACTAAAGGCTTAGAAGTTAGAACATGTAAACTGATTTAGAGGGTACCTGAGAGTTGATCGGCGAGGACGATTCCGACGATGCTACTGTTGAAACCCATCCACCCCAACCGTCTTTTCCGTTCCCACACTCCACCTAGGGAACAACCCAAAAAATCATCGTCATATGCTCTGCGTACTGTTGGTTGCGGAGCTCAAAGATTGGTGCTTGACTTCGACCCGAAAATCCCCATAGAGAAAGCCGTCACTCCACCCAGTTCCTGGTACACCGATCCTTCCTTTTACTCCCTCGAGCTCCAACGCGTCTTCTACAGGGGTTGGCAGGCCGTTGGTCAGTTTCTCTTACTTTCATTCTGTCTTTTCTAAAAAGAATCATTTCTTATGTCACCAATTGAACAAATTGTTGAATTTTTTACTGTGGTTTTCAGGATATACAGAACAGATTAAAGAACCCCATGATTTTTTCACGGGAAGGTATATGTATTTTCTTTGATCCTGAAATTAAAATTTGGTTAACAGAACATCTAGTTAGCTTTTTGGTTGAATGGGAAATAGGGAATGCTTAGAAAAATCAACATCCTTTGATAAGCATTTTTAATTATTTGCCTTTATTTTCTCTGTTCATTTGAATCATTTTTAAGAATGAAATGGGGGTTTAAATCTCTGTAGGCTGGGAGATGTGGAGTTTGTGGTGTGCCGAGATGATAAGGGGAAGATTGGTGCTTTTCACAATGTTTGTAGACATCATGCCTCTCTTCTTGCATCTGGGAGTGGGAAAAAGTCTTGTTTCGTATGCCCTTATCATGTGAGTGAGTTTGTTGCTCTAATTGAATGATAAGGAACTTCTTTTTAGATGTAGTTTAGAGTTCTGCTAGTTATTTTGAGTTCCAGATTGAGGTAGAAGCAGATGATCCAAAACTTTTGCATTCATACATGATAGATGTAATCCAACTACCAACAACCTATCCTCTTTATCAACTTATCCATCTATTACTGTTCCCAGTAAGCAAGATAAGATTATAAAACCAGAGCATGTGACTTGTGAGTGTGCAATGAACACCACACATTTTTCCATGGAAAAGATTTCTTTTATTTTTCTCAAAGCATTACTAGTAACTGTCAGGTGAATTCCATCTTTCCTATCTCATGGACGAAATCTTGTACCTTACATGTTAAAAATCTTGATAGAATCTTACTCCATAATTTGCCTTTTTCTACAACTCTTTCTAATGTAGAATTCCACCTCTTTGTTTAATTTAGGTTGCTACAGTTGGTTATGAACACATTACTGACGTCTTATCAGAAATCAACTCGGAAATGGAAATTTTCCAGACAGGAAACTCGTATCCAAGTTCCTTGTGAGTTGTATCCTAACCACTCTTTAGTCCCTTCCACAAACTAAATACCAACCTATCATCTGAGGAAGATAGAAAATAAACCATGCTTTCATTGAACAATTACACTGCACAACCCCCAGATCATTTCTTTTTCATTATTCTCAAAATGTTTTTTTTTGTCAATATGCCAACCAACACATTCAGCTGTAAATCATCCTTTCCTGAAATGATTATTGGTTTAGAGAATCTTGCCAATTCAATCCATTAACTCCATTCCCTTCATTAATTAAGTTAGAAAGTTAGAATGACACTTGGAGTCCATGTAAATGCAGGTAGTTGGGTTTTAAGTAGTACACTGTTGGTCACCTTATTGCTACATCTTTCCTTCAATTAAGTTATTATTTATCAGAAAAAGAAATTTTCAGAGAAAATTTGCCTCTAATTTACTGCTCCCCTTCTTGTTATAATTGTTAAATAGAGAAAGTGACCAGAAATTACATTTCTTCTTCTTCTTTTTTTTTTTTCTTTTTTTTGTAAGTTAAAGATTTTAGCCTAATATTTTCTGCAGGGATGGACATATGGCTTAGATGGAGCACTTTGTAAGGCAACCAGAATTACAGGAATACAAAATTTCAGTGTAAATGTATGCTATCTTGTATTTCAATTTATACATATGCTATAATGTTATGGCATTAGCCATCTTATTTCCATTTTTGTGCATCATTTCCAATGGGATAATTTAGTTTCTATCTCTCACCATGGAGGACAGGATTTCAGGCTCATACCATTAAAAGTAGCTACTTGGGGACCATTTGTTCTTCTCAATATAGACAAAGAAGTTTCACCTAAGCAGGAAGTTGATAATGATATAATAGCGCATGAATGGCTTGGTAGTTGCTCTGAGCTGTTGTGCCTCAATGGAGCTGATTCTTCACTGGCTTATCTCTGTCGACGTGAATACACCATTGAATGCAACTGGAAGGTATGTCTTGTCATGTTAAAACATGATTCTTCAATTATGGTGTGTCTCTTTTGGCCTTTAGCAAGTTTTGGTGATGAGTATAATGGGAAACTTCTAGGTCTCCTACCAGATATTGGTTGACTTATCTTTCGAATTTGTGTTGTTGCTCTAATGACAATGGTATTTCTTTCATAAGAGGAGTTTATGACACCCCAGTTCCCTTTTAGGATTGTTTCAAGAAACAGTGATTGCCAAAATTTGACCAGTTTTTATGGTGGAGAAACTTCAGTTCTTATATATTATAACAACTTGTGTTAAGCTTGAACACATACATAGGTTCCAGATAATATTTTATTTTCTTTTCCTTAAAGGTCTTTGTTGACAAAGAAACTTCAATTCTTATATTATAATAACTTGTATTAAGCTTGAACACTTTCATAGGTTCCAGATAATATTTTATTTTCTTCTCCTTACAGGTTTTTGTTGACAACTACTTAGATGGTGGTTACCATGTGCCATATGCACATCAAGGCCTTGCATCTGGGCTTAAGCTTGACTCCTACTCCACCACAGTATGATTCTATCACTTTATGCATTTTTAAATTTTAAAATTTATGGTAATTTGTCTGGGGCAGTTCTTTCAAGTGATTATTTATTGTAAGACAGATCTATGAAAAGGTCAGCATCCAGAGTTGTGGAGGTTGCTCTGTAGAAAGTGAAGATGATTTCGATCGGCTTGGTTCAAAAGCCTTTTATGCTTTCATCTATCCAAATTTCATGATTAATAGGTACTTGATTGGTCATAGTTGTGTCAATTTTCTTTCTTGTTTTATTCCATTTCTTATTTTTCCTTAATAAATTTGTTTTTCTGGTTTATTATAGGTATGGACCTTGGATGGATACCAATCTGGTAATCCCACTAGGACCTAGGAAGTGCCTGGTAGTATTTGACTATTTTCTTGAAGCTTCTCTTAAGGTAATTTTACTCACTCTATATTATGTTGTAGAAGGTGATTCATACCCAACAAAAATGAAAAAAGGGTACTAGTATGCAACTAATAAATATCTTGGACTTTTGCCAGAAGTACATATATAGATTCAGATCACATAGTGGTTTCCTCCTAAACTATTTGCCAAATGTTCTGGATTATCTTTTTGGTTGTTAACTAGATATTGGGATTTCTGCAGACAGCCATTATCAGAGGAAAAATAATAATAATCGAAAGGACGGTCTGATTTGCTTAGGCATGGTTAGATGAGCGAACGATGATAGGAGTCAACTTGGCGTTATAAACCCATAGTTTAAGCCTTATTCAACAATATCAATCACTGATGCATGTCTGTACCATCTCTGCAAGCAGTCTATTGAACGTACTAACATTTAATGCTGCATTTTGATAGTGCTTTTATGAACACTTTCACGATCCAATCATAGGGGTAATCTTTTTCCCTATGATTTCTCTCATTATCAGTTATCTTAGGTCTCAATATTTAGTATGTTGGTCAAGTAATAAAAAAGTACTAAAACGAAGGATCAATATGTTTGGTATTGTATGAAAGGGAAAGAAACTAATATTGAAAACCCAAAATAATCTTGAAATAATTGTTAAATGCTATTTTTTTTGGTGTTTAGTTCTTTAGTATGTGCGTGTGAAGGGAGGGACTGAGGGAGAGAGAGAAACTGGTGTTCTTTCCCGGTTCATTAGGATGGCTTACGTTTCATTCTCACTTATAATTAGAGGTTGTGCTAGGCTCCCCTTAGAAATATAATTTAAAGCATGTTAAAATTCCATAGTCTGGTCGTACTTTATATAAATATGTAGCTTCGTTATATTCAAACATAACAGCATGGTGTGAATAGAATTAAAAGCAATCATTCTTACCTCTTATTATCACCAATTCCTTGTGATTTATGTGTTTTATTTATAATCTTTTCTTTTGTCCACTTGTTAATAACCTTTTGGTCTCAGGATGATCAAGATTTCATCAACAGAAGCCTTGTAGACAGTGAAAGAGTACAGGTTAAGACAAATACTCTTCAGTCATAGATGTTGAAATCACCTTTGTTCTCGGATGCTGTTATTCCTTTATCTAACACAGGTGTTCTGGAGTTGCAGATGGAAGATATTACGCTATGCGAAGGTGTTCAAAGGGGTCTTGAATCACCAGCATACTGTTGTGGGAGATATGCTCCCACTGTTGAAATGGCCATGCATCATTTCCATTGTTTGCTGTATGACAACCTGGTAAAATAAATTGCTTTTTGCTTTGAATTACATAATACGAATTTGACATTGTTTGCATTCCCACAGCTTCTTTGAAGAAAATCCTAATATCCGGGCAACAAACTCCTCAGTCTGGTTATATTTGAGTGGAGGATTGAATTTTGGATCCCCATTGTTAAATAAGGAATAACAATTGTTGACTTGTTTCTGAATTCGATTATTTGTGAAGAAAATGATAACGTTAGATCTTGTATGGGCCAGATTGGAGAAGTTCTGATGGCATCACAGGGTTATTGTTGTTTTTTCCATTCTGCAAGACGTTAAAAAGCATAACAGCGTATTATGCTTGATGGAAAGAGGGGAGAGATAAAAAAACAAAAAAAGAAGAAGGTGATACTAAAGAAAGATGTTAAAAGTAAAACAACATTTTTTTGTTTTTTCATTCTTGTTTGGTTAGATGTCAAACTATTAAAATAAGTTAATTTAGAAATGGCATGGCTTATTAGGAATGACTATTCTTAATTCTTTTTTTTTTTTATTTAACAAGATGAAATAAAGCCATAATAATTAAACATAATAGTATTTATCTGTTTTATCTCTTAAAGATTAGAAAAAAAATCATCGTAAAATTATATCGTTTTAATAAATTGTCATAAAAAAATATTAAAATATTTTATTTTTAAATTATGAATTAGAGTGTTTTTTATTTTTTATTTTTGGTAGTATTTTATTAAAATTATGTAGTTTTAATTTTTTTTTAATATTTAAGAAAAGTGGATAAACATTACATTGAATAGTTAATAACAATTTTTTGTTTTATATATATACACACACTATATATATGGATATATATATATATATATATATATATATGGATATGTATATGTATATGTATGTATATATGTTTGGTTGGAGGAAACAAAGCTGAGGGGAAAAAGGAGACAAAGAGAAGGAAGTGCCCTAAAAAATA